TTTATGTTGTAATGTTTTTTGTTTTTTTGGTTGGCGAAATCAAAGAAGCTTATCACAATTCAGTGTTCTCGCCAGGCCTTCCTATGCTGTGATCTGGACCCCCTATGCTGTGATTTATCCCCCTATGCTGTCTTTTAACCAGCAAAGGGGTGTTTCTCCCTTCATACTCTTCTCAAAAAATAAAAATTTGACTTTAGAATCAAGCTATAACAAAGGGAAAACATAACTGTACAAAATCTGCCCTTCAATAACTGAATAAGCAGGAAATAGTGTCTCAGGGGCTGAAGGGGGTCAAGGGTCTAAATATTTTGGGGAAAATACCATTCCCCTTGCTGTGGTCATCTTTTGGGGGGTTCAATATGCGGCTTGCACCGCAGAAAGCTGTCCTTCTGTACCTAACCCCCTATGCTGTGAAAAAATTCTGGTGAGAACCCAGCTGCAATTAAATTAATTTACCTAAAATTGTAAATCATGTAATATTCCACATATTAATACAAGTAGAATATGCAGTTGTATTGTACCTTATGTTTCTGACTTTTATTCTTTCACAGGTGTTAGGGCCTTGGGAATTATTGGGGATGGATCTAACTGGCCCATTCCCAGTCACATCTCGCGGTAACAAGTATATTTTTACGGCAACTGATTATTGCACCAAGTGGGTGGAAGGATTTCCCATCAAATCAAAAAAACCCTCAGAGATTGCCGCCTGTATCATGAAACTGTACCACAGACATGGTGCAGCGCGTGCAATGCTTACGGACAGGGGAGGAGAGTTTTGCAACAAGGAGGTCAGTTATATAATACACTCATATATTTCTCCAAAGTCAGTAAAATTTTATAGGCCTTTCACACTGTAAGAAACCGGGAGATGTCTTCAGCATAAATCAAAATATTAAAGCCTTCTATGGAATGTTTTTTTATCAGTCTCACTTTGAGTTAATTGGAATCAAATGTTATGTTCATATCAAATCCTGTCCAATATCTAGTTGTCATTAATTGAAAATTATTATTATTGAAAATGCAATCCTTTTTGATTATGTATACAAATTGGTGTAAACATGGTTTGATCCATGTACCAAGGCTAAATAAGCAGGTGTACTGTTAGACCATGACATTGTATTTTATAATATGAAATATACATGTATCTAGCTAATTTGATGGTCATGTAACTAACAATGCTCCTTAAACCATTTGCACTCAGATTTTTTGAATGGTATTGTAAATATTTCAACAGGTGGACGCCTTGCTGTCTGAACAACTGGGGACTAAACATAAGTTAACCACAGCGTACCACCCACAAACAAACGGCCTGGATGAGCGTACAAATGGGAACATCAAAAGGTATGTTTGATTTATCCAACAAAAGTTATGAATGTTGACAAGACTGCTTTGTAAAAAACAATGGTTTTAGGAGTGAATGGACTAACCTTCAAATTGTTGATTTAAAATCTTTTCTTCACGTGCCTGCGAAGCTGATGTGTTACACTGTTATACTGGCTATATAGATACAGATATACAGAAAACCACTTTTTCTCTCCTTTCTAAAACCTTTTTCTTAATCTATTACATACATGTCATATTGTTAGTACACAGGTTTGTATCGGATTGAAATGCCATAAAATATTTCCAAGCTTTGAAATCGTCATGTGTCTAATTTACTAATTGTTACAGTGCCCTCGCCAAACTGCAATCAGAAGAAGACTGGGACATCAAGCTGGATGCAGTACTCTTCTCTTTGAGATCCAAACCACAGTCCTCTACCAAGTTCTCCCCTTTTTATCTCCTGTATGGCAGGGAAGCAATATATCCATCAGAGCTCCCAGAAGTGTCACCAACTGCACAGGTTAGTGATTACCACTCCTTGATATATTTTACAGGACATTTCTGCTCAGCCTGTACACTTACTGGCATGAAACTTTAATAAGGAGAAATTGCATAAGACACCCAAAGTTGTGGAAAAGTGACCAGAACTCGAATCTTTGAAGGAAATTTAAAGCAGGGTGTTTTGTGCTTGGCAGAGATATTGTACTGTTAACCAAGCATGATGTCAAAAAACATCATGTATTTGATAGTATTCAAAGATGAAAATAAAAAGCATGTCTAAATATATGGCACCTTTTTGTCAGTCCAATTAAAACCTTGGTTATACAATGGCCATTGTTTCCTTTTCCTACCTGGCCTTAAGTTACATATCATGGTATTGTTACACATCATTAACATTAGGCTAAGATCTCTAAGAGAATCTAGGAGATGCATGATTTACAGCAGCACAAGATTTTATGTTACATAAGGCAACACCAATTTGATATGTTGCTTTTCTGATTCGCCTCTTCCTTTTTTTCTGATTTTGAAAAAAAAAATCAAGGTTCTGAATCAACTACAAAATGTTCATATTTTCGCCCCAGAAAGTCATTGTCTTCCTACATTTTTTTATCCATCAATGCAGCCTAAGTATGTTGATTTCATGGTTCCTACCGTAACGGGCTATCAAGCCGCGGCCGGTGCCTTGGCCTGTTTTTTTTTAAATTTTGCTCTGTCGCTTCATATTTTTCCAGAAAAAATCCGGGAACCAACAAATTAGATTGGTGTGGCCTAATAGTATAATGTCTGCTGGCTTCATTTATCCAATATGTGTTACTTCTCTTTATTTAGGACATCCTGTCATCTGTCACTGCACCTGATTATGAACTGCTGACACAGGAAATGGAGAAGCAAAAGAAGAAAGCCACAGACACAGCTTTAGCAAACATCAAAGCATCACAAAAGAAGTACACAGCAAAAGTGGCAGCGAAAAATCGGAATGGAGCAACAAAGTCCACGACATTCAAACCTGGTGATGTCGTACTCTGCCAGAATGCCAGAAAAAAAGGACGACAGGGGGACCCCCTCTCCTTGAACTGGAACGGTCCATATGTGGTGGTGGACGCTGAAGGTAAACGGGTAAAACTGAAGGAAGTCAAAACATCTAGAATGCGAACAGTCAACAGTGACCAGTTAAAACATTGCCGAAACAACAGGAACCAGACTGAAGACTCATCTCCTGCCAACGTTGACCAGACTGAAGACTCATCTCCTGTCAACGTTAACCAGACTGAAGACTCATCTCCTGTCAACGTTAACAAGACTGAAGACTCATCTCCTGCCAACGTTAACCAGACTGAAGACTCATCTCCTGTCAACGTTAACCAGACTGAAGACTCATCTCCTGTCAACGTTAACCAGACTGAAGACTCCTATCCTGTCAACGTCGACCAGACTGAAGACTCATCTCCTGTCAACGTCGACCAGACTGAAGACTCATCTCCTGTCAACGTCGACCAGACTGAAGACTCCTATCCTGTCAACGTCGACCAGACTGAAGACTCCTATCCTGCCAACGTTAACCAGACTGAAGACTCATCTCCTGCCAACGTTAACCAGACTGAAGACTCATCTCCTGTCAACGTTAACAAGACTGAAGACTCATCTCCTGTCAACGTTAACAAGACTGAAGACTCATCTCCTGTCAACGTTAACCAGACTGAAGACTCATCTCCTGCCAACGTTGACCAGACTGAAGACTCATCTCCTGCCAACGTTGACCAGACTGAAGACTCCTATCCTGCCAACGTTGACCAGACTGAAGACTCCTATCCTGCCAACGTTAACCAG